ATTTATGCTTCTGGAGTTATATAGATTATTTAGTATTTAAGGACAACTTAAATGTGTAATACACAAGGTATAAATATTAAGAATATCTTTTCCATTTTAATTAACATTAAAAATTTTATACAATATTTTAAAATATCTTGAAATACTTTACAATTTCTTAAAATATTTTAGTTTTGTTTTATTAGTTTAATAAAACTTTAATTCAATCTAGCTATAGATTAGGTACTAATTGTATTTAAGATGCAATAAAATGTTTATCTTCGAACACTAAGAACGTTAAGTTTGGTCAAAATTTTCTATGCAGCTTTAAAGGTAAACTCAAATATTCACAATATATTTGACGGTGCAGTTTAATATTGAGTGAAAATAAGTACAATTTCTGACTACTATGAATAGTAAATAATTGCATTTACTTGTTCGGGTACGTTTACCTCCCCATTTTTGGAGGACGGGCTGGCTTCTTCACCCACAGAGTTATTAACCCATGGAACCGCCTACCCGCCCAAGCCCTAAATGACAAAACTGTTAAGTTTCAAAGTATTCCTGGAGAGATCATCAGGGCAAAGGAGGCGACCCTCGACAAGCCGCTGCCTTCCTGTCCTCGTCGAGGCCACTAGGGTTAGTGGATTTCAGAAAATTAGATAGCAAAAAAGGCAATTAAATACATAATTAAATATTTTACAATAGAGTGCCATATTATTGTGGATTAAAAAAAATAATAATTTTAAATGATTGAATTAATATAATATATTATATCGTTATATTGTATATTCATTATAATACACGTCTTTATACTAGAATATAATATGCTCTGCAAATTATTGAAAGCAAAAGTAAATTTTTATTTTTTAATGAAATAATAATATAGAATATTTAGGAATTACTCAAGAAACGATTATTTATATATATATATATATATATATATATATATATATATATATATATATATATATATATAATAAATTTCATCATTAGTCAATTTGCACTTGGAAACCTAATTTCGGTTAAGCATTTTTGTAAGCACTTGAGTGCTCAAAACTTAAATAAATATATTTCTTACAATGTATCGGTTTCATATTAGTTTAAGGATTGATAACCAATATCAGTGCTCAGCCCACTGTCAACGGTAGTTACACAGCATCAACATTATATGAGGTAGTGTAGCGACCAGGGGCCGGATTCAGGAAGGTACATACGAAGGTTTTTCTTCTTAGCTACGAATGTTTTCCTTCTTAGCGCCTTCGTGGCGGCTACGGCGGTATTCAGGTAGCTACAGTAAGTGGAAAAACCTTCGTAAGTTCATTCCGGGATCTAAGAGTGGTTTCGACCACTCGTAGCTTTACGTAAACTTTTACGAAACTCAATTTTTCTCTACTACATAACACTGGGATCGATTTTAAGATTTTGGAACATAAACAAAAGATTATAAAAATTTAATCTAGTGAAGAGGAGTCCTTTGTGTTAGTTATATATATGCATTCTCTGCTTGAAACTTAAAGTAAATATGTCTTTTATGATAGTAGAATTAGTTTTATAATAGCAAGATATTATACTCGTAGTTATTAAGTATATAAACACTGGTGAACATGAAATATGAGAGAAGGTGATGAGCCCTGCCTGATGGGCAGGGCTCATCACCTGGGTTGACATTTAGGAGGTAACCTAACTTACCTCCTAAATGTCTTGCTATTTTTTAAACAACGCTGTTCACCAACATGTGCAATTGCTGATTTATGCTATGTTAACCCCCCTTTTTGTATTTTTTATTCCTTCTTTCAACACAATTTATACCTAATCCCGATTACTATTAAGTTTTAGTCTAAGTGTTTTTTCCCCCCCACACCTTGCCCGAAATGCTATGAGTATTAGTGGCTTTAGGTATTGTATGTACTAGCTCTGTCTATAAATCCAACATTATGTTTGTAAATCAACTGTATGTACTTTTCCTAAATAAAATGTATTTATTATTTATTTTTTAATCAGTAAGTATTAAAAGAAGGCACCAAGCTGGGAAGGCTATGTAGCACCATTGTGTGTAACAATAAACCAAATTTTTTTTAACAAATAATGCACCTGTATGGTAAAACAAATCCTGTCAGCTGTAAAAATATTGATGCAGTTATTTAAATGAAAAATATAATGAAAGAAATATTACTGGTTTATTTTTATCCTATCTATTTGTACTGTACAGTATATCCAAGGAAGTGAAAAATTGAGATATAATGCACAATTTAATGAATGATTAGCATGGATTAGCAGTTCAAAAGATATATGACTATTACATATCAACATGAGATCTTAATGATCCATGGTCAACATGATTTAATAAGGATAATAAAGTACTGAATTTGTAATAATACAAACTATAATTTAAAATCTTTATTACTGATTTTCTGGGGGGGAGCCCCGTCGGCTCCCCGGAGCTATCCCAGGCTGATATGCTAATGTCAGACTTTGGCATCAGTCATGTGTATGGAGTTCTTAGGCCTACCGGGGACCACGGCCAGAACCTGGCCGCCTCAGAGAGGCAAGGGGAGCAATGGCCTATAGAAGCCCCCGTGTAGTTGGAAGCATTCTATGTCTGCCATCGACCGGAACAGGCACCCAGAAAGGTAAGCGCCCCAAAACAAACCCCTATTCTGGTTAAAATTGCTACCTAAAACCGAACTAGTGGATAGAACTCCCCAACCGAAAACAAGCAAACTAGTGTGACGTCACACACTGCCGCGCCGCTGTCTGCGCAGCTGGTGTGCCCTCGGGGCGTGGTAGGCTCCTGGTGTGCCCTCGGGGCGTGGTAGGCTCCTGGTGTGCCCTCGGAGCGTGGTAGGCTCCTGGTGTGCCCTCGGGGCGTGGTGGGCTCCTGGTGTGTCCTCGGGGCGTGGTAGGCTCCTGGTGTGCCCTCGGGGCGTGGTGGGCTCCTGGTGTGCCCTCAGGGCGTGGTGGGCTCCTGGTGTGCCCTCGGGGCGTGGTGGGCTCCTGGTGTGCCCTCGGGGCGTGGTGGGCTCCAGGTGTGCCCTCGGGGCGTGGTGGGCTCCTGGTGTGCCCTCGGGGCGTGGTGGGCTCCTGGTGTGCCCTCGGGGCGTGGTGGGCTCCTGGTGTGCCCTCGGGGCGTGGTGGGCTCCTGGTGTGCCCTCGGGGCGTGGTGGGCTCCTGGTGTGTCCTCGGGGCGTGGTGGGCTCCTGGTGTGCCCTCGGGGCGTGGTGGGCTCCTGGTGTGCCCTCGGGGTGTGGTGGGCTCCTGGTGTGCCCTCGGGGCGTGGTGGGCTCCTGGTGTGCCCTCGGGGCGTGGTGGGCTCCAGGTGTGCCCTCGGGGCGTGGTGGGCTCCTGGTGTGCCCTCGGGGCGTGGTGGGCTCCTGGTGTGCCCTCGGGGCGTGGTGGGCTCCTGGTGTGCCCTCGGGGCGTGGTGGGCTCCAGGTGTGCCCTCGGGGCGTGGTGGGCTCCTGGTGTGCCCTCGGGGCGTGGTGGGCTCCTGGTGTGCCCTCGGGGCGTGGTGGGCTCCTGGTGTGCCCTCGGGGCGTGGTGGGCTCCTGGTGTGCCCTCGGGGCGTGGTGGGCTCCTGGTGTGCCCTCGGGGTGTGGTGGGCTCCTGGTGTGTCCTCGGGGCGTGGTGGGCTCCTGGTGGGCCCTCGGGGCGTGGTGGGCTCCAGGTGTGTCCTCGGGGCGTGGTGGGCTCCTGGTGTGCCCTCGGGGCGTGGTGGGCTCCTGGTGTGTCCTCGGGGCGTGGTGGGCTCCTGGTGTGTCCTCGGGGCGTGGTGGGCTCCTGGTGTGTCCTCGGGGCGTGGTGGGCTCCAGGTGTGTCCTCGGGGCGTGGTGGGCTCCAGGTGTGTCCTCGGGGCGTGGTGGGCTCCTGGTGTGTCCTCTGGGCGTGGTGGGCTCCTGGTGTGTCCTCGGGGCGTGGTGGGCTCCTGGTGTGCCCTCGGGGCGTGGTGGGCTCCTGGTGTGTCCTCGGGGCGTGGTGGGCTCCTGGTGTGCCCTCGGGGCGTGGTGGGCTCCAGGTGTGCCCTCGGGGCGTGGTGGGCTCCTGGTGTGCCCTCGGGGCGTGGTGGGCTCCTGGTGTGCCCTCGGGGCGTGGTGGCGATTGCCTCCCCCGCTGCCAAATGGTACTGGAAGACTTCTAAAAATTTTGCCCATTTGGGTATGAGTTTAATGTGTGGGAAGAGCTGTGTTTTTCGCCTTGACTGCCCAGTATTCTGTGTGTATGAGGTGGGGCCCGGGGCGCCCTCAGGGGAGCCTGGGAAAATACGATCATAGTCTGCTGACTCTACAACATATTGCCATTCCATCAACTCATTGTAGTCAAAATGTTATCAAAACAAACTTAACTTTCTGCATATTTTTATTAATTGAAATATTGCAATAAACATGTTAAACTCTGCAACAACTAAACATTTATATTAACAAGTTAAAAAATGACGGATTATGTTTATTTTTTAAAGGAAACATTAATATAAACTTTTTATAAAATAGGCATATATGTATGTATATATATAATATATATATATATATATATATATATATATATATATATATATATATATATATATATATATATATATATATATGTCGTACCTAGTAGCCAGAACTCACTTCTCAGCCTACTATTCAAGGCCCGATTTGCCTAATAAGCCTAGTTTTCCTGAATTAATATATTTACTATAATTTTTTTCTTATGAAATGATAAAGCAACCCTTTTCACTATGTATGAGGTCAATTTTTTTTTATTGGAGTTAAAATTAACGTAGCTATATGACCGAACCTAACCAACCCTACCTAACCTAACCTAACCTATCTTCATAGGTTAGGTTAGGTTAGGTAGCTGAAAAAGTTAGGTTAGGTTAGGTTAGGTAGGTTAGGTAGTCGAAAAACAAATAATTCATGAAAACTTGGCTTATTAGGCAAATCGGGCCATGCATAGTAGGCTGAGAAGTGCGTTCTGGCTACTAGGTACGACATATATATATATATATATATATATATATATATATATATATATATATATATATATATATATATATATTATATATATATATATATATATACATAGCAAACTATACATTCCTTTTGTCATACAGTCGATATAGATATATATATATAAACACATACAAAAATATATAAATATGCGTATGTATTTTATCAATAATTTCAACTTTTTTTATTCATTAATTTATCCTAAAAGATCAAATAAGTATAAGATTTAAAATAAGACTGAGACACGTGGTATGCCAGTTATGCAGTATACAAAACTATAATTTATACTCAGTGGACACAACGAACATTGACAACTTTGAGGCCACTTAATTAACATTTTGAAATTGTAACAATTAGTAATCATTAATTTCCAGCTATTTATAACCCAGACATCCATATAATTTATACTTTCAGTTAAACAAATTTATAGGAAGGATTTTGAGCTCCACATTACAGCTCCAGATGGTCTGGTGGAAAATGGACAAAAAAACCATCTTTCTGCAACTCATCAATCACATTCTGGTAAAACACATCCGGAAAAAACTTTTTATTTGTTTTAACAAGCCGACTCAGTACCTTGGCTTCCACCCGGGCTTTGTGCCATTGCTCTACCCAGAAACTCTTTGGATTAGGCTTCCCCGTTAGGACATTTGGTGGTTCAGGACAGCCATAATGATTCAGGGAAGCCATGACTTCACCTCCCGTATGTTTAGCTTTAGAGCGTCTGGAGAGGACGCTATCGCAGACGAAACACTCGAAGTGTTCAATAAAGTTCCCCTTGTCGAAGTCATTGTTGATTCCCCACTTTCTATGAGCCATGGCACGAACGAGGTTCAAATTATCGACTTTTTGTTTCAATTTGTGCTTCAGGTGAGATTCGTACAAAGTCTCATTTTCCATCAACTTGTAAAGGTACCAGGCCAATTGTTGCGGGGATTCGAACTCGGTTACCGGAATTACTGATCTGGGATTGGGCTCCCAGTCCTTCACAGAGGGAGACCCCCAGTACACTGGGACAGATCCCAGAGTGAGAGGGCGCCATAGCTTCTCAGTAATGTAATCATCACACGCGGCGTTTTCAATGGCCAGAGTAAACTTATATTTGGCCACAATGGCGCGAAAGTCAACATGATCAAAGGTATCAGCAGGATCATGCAGATGCGGTGGGAGGTCGCGGTTGTGGAGGCAGGAACCATACGAGTCGATCTTGATGTATTTCGACAGCTGCTGCACGTAGGCGTCTCTCTCTGAAGGCGTGTCGCAGTCAGACTGGACGTACACGACCGGAGCCAGGTCCTCCTCCGCCATTAGTTGGGTCTTGACGGAGGTGACGACGAATTCCGACCTCGAGGTGAGGGATTCCATTGACTCTAAATGCTGGAGAGTGAGGGGGAAATCTGATTCCCTCCGGAATGTGGCAGTGAGGTTGAAGAGCTCTAATACCTGCTGATGGTCAAAAAGTGGCTGATTTTTGGGAGATTCCTCATGGAGGAGACCCCACCACTGGTGCGGAGACCGCCGGGGTAAGGGCAGATCCTCCACGCTGAAGTCGCTGCCGTAGAAGAGCACAGCTTCCGTACGGGGATGGTGTAGGTAAGCCCCGCGGTCCTCGGTGAAGAAACAGCTCCCAAAGTGACAGGTGCGCGACTGACCTGATCCAACCCCGGTGAAAGGTGTCCACCAGAGGACGGTGCTCTCACCCTTATCCTCAGGAGGGGTACCATCATCCGTAACAGAGGGACCAGCATCCGTAGCAGGGGTATCAGCATCTTTAGAAGAGAGATCAGCATACACAGGATCAGCATCATTAGTAGAGACAACAATATCTCTAGAAATGCTACTTGCAACGGCCCTGACAGTGATATCTGCGGTATCGCTAGCAGAGGTTCTAGCAGCATCTCCAGCAGTGGGATCGGAATACCTGGGAGGGTGTGAGAGACTAGCATCCCTAGACGCGGGAGGGAGGGCAGCATCCCTAGACGCGGGAGGGAGGGGCGGGAGATCAGTAACCCCAGGAAGGGGAGGTCCTCCCCCATCATCCCAAGAGCCATGGTGGCTCCCACGGGCCTCCTTCCACCCCATGCTCGCCATAACCACGACTTGGGCCGTGAAGACGACCCACCGGTGCTCCATGGCCGCTAAATAACTGAAATACATGAGCTTTCAGCGGTAAATAAGGGGGCAGACGCCTCACGTGACGGCCGTCAGCTGACGTAACTCACACCGCCTCTAATAAATCCATTATTTCCTCCATTCTTCATGGAGTTGTGGAGACGAGCGGGTATGTCTAAGGCAGCTGAGGGCCTCTCTTGCCGCAGGAACACTTTTCGACGACGATAATCCCGGAAAAACACGCCCAGGAGGAAATATAATGAACACAGGCAGCCGGATACGTGGACCAATCACGTGACATCATCACACCGCGTTCGTGTCCAAATTAACACCAAATTCCGACTTGAATTCGCATCAAACACCCACTTTACGCGACATGAAACACCTATTAAATATTTATACTTTCGTTTTAAATATAAAATCGCTCTAAATGACCTTCAAAATGCGAAAAAAATGATATTTCTGTTAATGTTTCGGCGACGTGGAAGGGCAGGCGACGTGTGGATTGTTTACACGGCGTCTCCCGCCAGCCTGGACGCGTCTCTCGGTCAGATTTCCGTCATAAAGACGACTTTGCCGACGACGAGGACGATGATGGAGGCGTTGTGAGAGCCACGTCGGCCTCCCCGGCAGCCAAGACCCGTGAGGAGACGAGTGTTGAGGTGACCTGGGCACCAGAGAGCGGCGGCTCCTCCTGCCTCAGCCTTCACCGTCCCAGCTGACGGGTTAGTGTGAGTGTGTCCTGGTGGGGGGAGTGTGAGTGTGTCCTGGTTGGAGGAGTGTGTGTGTGTCCTGGTTGGAGGAGTGTGAGTGTGTCCTGGTGGGGGGAGTGTGAGTGTGTCCTGGTAGGGGAGTGACAAGTGTGTGTGCTCGCCTGTTTGTGCTTGCGGGAGGGTTAAGCTCTGGCTCTTTGGTCCCGTCAATCAACTGGTGTACAGGTTCCTGAGCCTACTGGGCTCTTATCATATCTACACATGAAACTGTGTATGGAGTCAGCCTCCACCACATTACTTCCTAATACATTCCATTTGTCAACCACCCTGACACTAAAAAAGTTCTCTCTACCTAAAGTTCTTTGTGTCCTGGTGGGGGAGTGTTGAGTGTGTGTGTGTGACCAGATTTTGGAGGTTACGCTAGACAGTGTAAATGCTAGGTTATTATTCATTAAAATCTTACCTGGTTGATACCTGGTTGATGGGGTTCTGGGAGTTCTTCTACTCCCCAAGCCCGTCCCGAGGCCAGTCCTGACTTGTGAGAGTTTGGTCCACCAGGCTGTTGCTTGGAGCGGACCGCAGGCCCACATACCCATCACAGCCTGGTTGGTCCGGCACTCCTTGAAGAAAACAATGTAGTTTTCTCTTGAAGATGTCCACGGTTGTTCCGGCAATATTTCTTAGTCTCTGGGAGGGTGTTGAACAACCGTGGACCTCTGATGTTTATACAGTGTTCTCTGATTGTGCCTATGGCACCGCTGCTCTTCACTGGTTCTATTCTGCATTTTCTTCCATATCGTTCACTCCAGTACGTTGTACATTTTACTGTGCAGATTTGGGACCTGTCCCTCCAGTATTTTCCATGTGTATATTATTTGGTATCTCTCTCGTATCCTTTCTATTGAGTACATTTGGAGAGCTTTGAGATGATCCCAATAATTTAGGTGCTTTATCTCGTCTATGCGTCCCGTATATGTTCTCTGTATTTCAGCAATCTCTCTTGCTCTGAAGGGGTAAGTGAGTACTGAGCAGTACTCAAGATGGGACAACACAAGTGATTTGAAGAGTACAACCATTGTGATGGGATCTCTGGACTTGAAGGTTCTCGTAATCCAGCCTATCATTTTTCTGGCTGACGCAATACTTGCTTGGTTATGCTCCCTAAACGTTAGGTCGTCGGACATCATTATCCCCAAATCCTTGACATGCTGTGTCTTGGCTCATTCAACTGTGCCACCAATGTTAAAACATACACAGATTGTCATGAAAAGAAACTCATGTTGAGCATTACAAAATTGATGTGTTAAAGGACAGACAAATGAGTTTGTTCAGCCTGCCTTCCAGCTAGCCAAACTGGCCTGGAGACAGTCAGTTTAGCTGAGTTTTGTCTGAGCCCCAGTCAGCCAGACACCAACAGTCAAATCACTCGGTCAGACACCATGTCTGTTTCTCTGGCATATAATTAACCAGGGGTAAAGTTACCCATCTCCAGATGCTTAAGACAGTTATAGATAAATCTGATGGACTTTTATTAAATATATTGGGTTTATTAGAAAATTTATTCTTTTATCAAAAGATATGTTCTTTAAAAGTGACACTAGAATTAATGCTGTACTTGCAATACACAGAGATATTAACAAAAACTGGCTTTTGGGAATTTGTCATGAAACTTAAGTTCCCAGATTTCTTATTGCAGGAACTCCAGTCTGGTCTACAATTGCAAAATATGTTGCTCATTTGTAAGAGAATTTAATCAGTCTAACCATGTATACTGTGGTCTACTCCCATTATTTGCCTACTGTTAGGATAACATACCTGGTTCCCTGATGTTTGGAAACGTGCAACAGGTATCACGGTGTTTGGCGACGTGTGTCTCGGGAACAGGTGTGGGGTATAGTCTGATATTACGGGACATGGTATCTGGGTGTCGGTATTCATTATTTATGTTTTACATCAATAATGAATTCCGGTGGTTTTCCGGCTATTGTGATTTCTGTGTGTAATGTTTCACATTATTTGGTGACATTTACTTAGCTTTCCGTGCATCTACAGAGAGAGCTTACCTTGAGAGACACTGCAACCCGTTCTCGCAAATTTAATAAGTCAATATTGACTTATTAAATATGTGCATAGGTGACATACTTAACATAATAGTTTCCCTTGAAAAGCTTCATAGAAAACACCGACCTTACCTAACCTACTTAGTATGTTAAGATAAGCATCTTATTGCTTCGTAATTACAATTATTTCCTAACCTATACCTATAATAGGTTAAGTAACAATTGTAATTACGAAGCTATAAGATGCTTATTTTAACATACTAAGTAGGTTAGGTAAGGTCGGTGTTTTCTATGAAGCTTTTCAAGGGAAACTATTATGTTAAGTATGTCACCTATGCACACAACTAATAAGTCAATATTGACTTATTAAATTTGCGAGAACGGGTTGGACACTGGACACTGGTTTTGGGTGACCCGTATCTTGGGAACCACTGACTTTTGGTCTGGTATTAATATGAAAGGTAGCACGCTATGCTTGGTACGTGGTGGTAACATTTTCAGTTGATTTGGATATGAATCATTATAGTAATCGGGTTTTGGTGTCTGAAAACCATGTACCGTTCATGGGGTCTAATTTTCTGACCAGTCTCCGGACACCTTTATTTGCAATACAATAATGTATTTTTAGTTTTTTTTACTGTAGTATCATTTAGCAGTTTGAGAATCATCCTCATGAAAACAAGAAATCAAATTATATAAAATATAATTTCTTAAGTTTTACCAGAAACAAATAGCTAATATTTTTGCAAGAACTCTGCACCGAATTGTGGAGATATTGATGGTATAATATTTATTCTAATAGGGTTCAATAATATTCCTTTCGTGGTTTCATTATGGTTCTAGACCATACTTCGTTCCTGCCATTTTTCTGGTTTCGTTCCATACATTGCTCTATGGGCTGGACGGTAGAGTGACGGTCTCGCTTCATGCAGGTCAGCGTTCAGTACCCAACCGTCCAAGTGGTTGGGCACCATTCCTTTTTCCCCCGTCCCATCCCAAATCCTTCTCCTGACCCTTTCCAAGGGCTATGTAGTTGAAATGGCTTGGCACTTTTCCCTGATAATTCCCTCCCTCTATACACGTGTCCAAGCAGTGTAGTTATTTTAGGTGCTGGTGTTGGCCAACCATTCAGTCAAGGGCAACTTTACCCAAGCTGTTAGAAGTGTAATGGGCTCAGAGAGAACACTGCAAGCATGATAATGGGAATAGTGTTCCCCGATAATGGGAACACTGCAAGCTCTCATTTAGTTTCCATTATCGGAGACAGGAGGCTTGTACCTAGGCCTATCACAGTCCCCTCTAGGCTAACTAATGACCTTCCCCAGAATGCAAACCATAATGGTGGCCTAATTTCTGGGTACCTATTCCCCCCACAACCAGAGTGCAACTCTATAGTCTCCTGAGACTGATGAATGTCTACTACTATTCACTGCCAGGTGAACAGAGTCATCAGGGAACAGAAAACTTGTCTAATTCTTTTTCTCCTTCCCGGGGGATTGAACTGGGATCTTTCGGTTGCGAGCCGAGGATGTAGACAACTGTGCTCTCCTGTAGATTGTAAATAGTTTTAAAAATAATAAAATTAGGCTTTTAACAAAATCCAATATTGCATATAAGACAACAAGTGTCCTTGCACATGCTGTCCTCTTACTGAATGCACTACACTTTTTACACAATTGACCCCGGCATAAAAATTCCATTGATTTAGGGAAATCAGTAACACCTTAACGTGGCACTTCATGGGCCTGATGATTAACGGCTCTGATTGGTTAAGTGGATAGTACCCTAGGTTCTGATTCTTTGAGTCATCTTGAGGTTATCTTGAGATGATTTCGGGGGCTTTTTAGTGTCCCCGCGGCCCGGTCCTCGATCAGGCCTCCACCCCCAGTCCAGCGTGCTGTCTGCTCGGCCGACCGGCACCCAGTCAGGTGAAACCACTGCATTTTTTTTTTACAGTGGGGAAATAATGACACTGGGCTCCATGTCAACCCGTCTTCTCAACTAATGCCTCATTATGGTATGTTATGGTAACCTACATACGAAATGCAACCTATTATGAAAAGTAGCAGCTTACAAAATTCTCATGTATCAGTTGGTTGGATTAGTTGGGTTGTTTGGGTTCGTGCATTTCTGATTAGGTTAGGACATTGTATTTTGTGGCAAATTGAGAGACTGGGCCGCCCTAACATGTGCCCAGGTTTTCCTTCACTTCCCTGTTGTTCCCACGTGCTCTCTCAGTTGTTATAAAATGTGTAATTTGTTGTGGATTATTTTACCATAAATTATCAATGAAATTGCATGTATTTTCTGAATTTTATTTACTGCACTTGAAATTACTGGGTCCCTGAAATTTATCCTATTTCCTCATAGTTGCCTAATAAAATACTGCAGTCTGCTTTTGGAGAAAATGTCAAGGACTATATTTTTAAAAGCCGTTAGTATTGCTGTTAACCCTGTGGCTAGTATTGCTGTTAACCCTGTGGCTGTATATTTGCACGTGACCTATTTTCCGGGGTTACCTTGCATTGTTCCCGGGATCAACGTCCCCGCGGTCCAGTCTTTGACCAGGCCTCCTTGGTGGTGGTCTGGTCAACCAGGCTGTTAGACGCAGCTGCTCATAATGTGACATTTGAATCACAGCCCCGTTGATCAAGTATCTTTTGAAGACTTTATAAGTTCTCCTTTTATACCACAAGGGATTGGTTAATTATGCCTCTTATGTGTATACTCAGGCTTTGCACCCTGGAGAGGCCACTCCAGACCGACAACCAGAGCACAATTCCTTAGTTTGTTATGACTGATGGATGCCTACTACTTGCATGTGTAGAGGAAGAGTGTTGAAAAAATTCTCTCGGCTAAAGATCCCATCAATTGAGTATGGTGAAGGGGGTTTAAAGTGTGACGTATGAAGGAAGATGTGGAGTGTGGCACCTGAAACATCTGTATCGCCAGTCAGCCAACCATGATAATCCCGTACGAATACACAAAGCTGCTAAAGCCTATTGGATTATATGAAGAAGCTCCTATTTATATCCATCCAAACTTCTTCACATACGTGTTTAATCTAATATCAATAGGACTATGACTCGTCAAACTATAAATCGACTGCATCTAAGAGCTTTGTTGACCATGCTGCCTATGGGGACCTGATCTCCATAATTCAATAACACTGTTTCCAAACCAATTATTTACCCAGGTCTTTTCTGTATTTAACCCTTAAATACAGGCCTGACTGTAAATGGGGGGGGGATATAAGCTGGGTCTGGGGAAAAAAATATTCATATGTGAAAATTCATAAAACTGTTAAACAAATCTCCAACTTACTGGCTTCAGCGTCGTGAAAGTTTCATCCCAATCCCAATATTTTCATCCCAATATTTTCATAAATGGATTTTAGAAGATTTTTTTTTTTTAAAGGAGGTTTGGTTGATAAGGAGAATGGCTCCTATTAACTGGAACTGATGGATAATGCAGTAATAAGGAGATGCAAGCACCTGTCCGACACACAAAGAAGAATAGTAGTTAAAAGTGTCCACAAAGTGGATGTGCAGCTGGTGCCTTTATAGCATTGCTGAGTTATACATAACGCCAATAATAATAATAATGATTACGTATGTTATTATGCTCCATTTTGTTACATATATCATAAAAATAGATGGGCCACTGTTAATGTTACTCTCACCAATGTCCAAAAAATATTTTTTGGGGGAGGGGAGGTTACCTTACCTTGAGGTGCTTCCGGGGCTTAGCGTCCCCGCGGCCCGGTCGTCGACCAGGCCTCCTGGTTGCTGGACTGATCAACCAGGCTGTTGGACGCGGCTGCTTGCAGCCTGACGTATGAGTCACAGCCTGGCTGATCAGGTATCCTTTGGAGGTGCTTTGGGGAAGATTTTATTTTATTTTATTTTTGTCGTCTTTGTTTATTATTTCATTTTGTTGTAACCTCTACATCCTGGAGAGCCATAATCATCCCTAACTATGTGAAGATAGAAAAAAAAGTAACAATGGCAGAATTTGGGACTGAATTTTTTTGGTTGATTTTTTTTTCACAGATTTCAAACTCTATTTTCTTAGTCCCTTTAGGATGTTTTGATGATTAGGACTTTATCACTTGTATAAAGTATACATCTCTGTTCCCTAAATCATTATAATTATCACTTGTATAAAGTATACATCTCTGTTCCCTAAATCATTATAATTATCACTTGTATAAAGTATACATCTCTGTTCCCTAAATCATTATAATTATCCCCATATTTTGTTTTTTTCGGGAGGATTATTTTTTCATGACTTCATTTTAACATATATTGACCAACAACTTTCACATATTCAAGTACGAATACCAAACAATGTTTATTAAAACATACAAGTAAATTAATGAATTAGAACTACCTTATTCATTGTCGATAACTTCCACTTCATTTATCTCTGAAACTAGAGTTTCAACTTTGAGTCGGTTAAAAAAAATTAAGTTTCTGACCCATTGTCACCATTTTTACATATAGTGTGCACAGCTGTCTGTTCTACAATCCTATTAGAATAGATTTTTCATAAACCCCAAACATTTGGAGTTACAAATTTTGATGTCTAAATTTGGCGTATATTTCAAATTCCACATTGACAATTTTTTTTTTTACAGTAAACTAAACTAAAAACCTCTAGTCTAAATCTTTGAAAATGAAGATCATATGCTATTTTGAGATCATAATAACATCAAATGAACAATTTGATATGGGGAGCCGGTCGGCCGAGCGGACAGCACGCGGGACTTGTGATCCTGTGGTCCTGGGTTCGATCCCAGGCGCCGGCGAGAAACAATGGGCAGAGTTTCTTTCACCCTATGCCCCTGTTACCTAGCAGTAAAATAGGTACCTGGGAGTTAGTCAGCTGTCACGGGCTGCTTCCTGGGGGTGGAGGCCTGGTCGAGGACCGGGCCGCGGGGACACTAAAGCCCTGAAATCATCTCAAGATAACCTCAAGATAACCTCAAGAATTGGTGATATTTTATATTTTTGCTGCCGATTTGAAAATCTGAAACTTTCAATATTCAATTTTATTATTTTTTTATTTTTTTTTATTTTTCAAGTTATGTTTGTGATGAGTTAGACAAAGTTGCAGGATTTGCTAGTAGATTATGCACAAAAAATCGGAAAGCGTTTGAGCAAGTTTGAGAAATTGAACTCGTGGTACCGTTAAGTCCAGTCGTATATGCATGCCATGTGCAATTTAAGGGTTAAACTTGTACAATTTATATCATTGACACCTCAGAGTCTCTAGTCCTTGGTACTACTTTACCCCTCAGCCCCCTAGTCATTATAACCCTGTAGTCCTCATAAGCCTCAGAGAACAGATCTGAAACATTGTAGCTCAAATATATATATGGTAATAATTTTTTTTCTTTTTGCAGAGGAAATGGACGTGGTACTTCCAGTGTTTCAGCTGCTGTATTTTGTGGCTCACTTCCTGGTCAGCCTGGCCCTCTCTGTGATCGACACCTTTCATGACCTTCATCGTCTGTTGCTGCGTCTCTGCTCCTTCTTGGCCCCAACTCTCATTCCTGCATGTCGTCTGCAGGCAGACGCCGCTCAGCTCAAGAAGGTACCGCAACACCTTGGTCTGATATTAGTTGCGCATCAGACACACCAAATATCCCAGTTGTCGACTGTCATCTCCTGGGCCGTCGCGTATGGTGTTCGCTTCGTGTCGCTATATGATGCTCATGGCATTTTGAAACGCAACAAGCCAGTGATCTTGAAGGCTCTTGAGGAAAGTAACTCTGACATTATGTATAATGTTCTCTCTTATGACCAGGACTGCAAGCCGGAGAAAGACACGGTGGCTGGCAAGTGTGTCAAGACGGACACCACAACTGTACATCAAGAGGTAACAGTCAATCTTTTGAGTCAGGAAGACAGCAGAGGAAACTTGGCGAGTGTAGCCAAAAGGTTGTCAAAAACGGGTTGCAAGATAACTGCATCAACAATAGAGTCACACTTGGTGACGAACGGTCAACCCGACCCAGACGTCGTTATCACTGTAGGAGAAACATTTGCCACTTTTGCTTTCCTTCCATGGCAGATTAGACTTGCTGAATTTTTTGTCACATCCTCTTTAAGTAGGTTTGAATATAGTGATTTCCAAACTATCCTGAAAAAATACTCTAGATGTGAACAAAGATTAGGGAAGTAGAAGTTTGGTTTGCAAATATTATGTAGTGTACTTAAGAAGTCAACTCAGGTCATCTTAGACACGTAACCACAGTATATGCGACCTTCCATGTCAGTAGACCACTCACATATGTTTGTGTTTTTAAGTATGTTGAGCGAGAGTTAATGATGGTCGATTCATTCGATCTCACTGTAGTTGCAGTTGTGCAGCAACGAAAAGTAGTCGTTTAATATTTTCCTGCTCATGCGTCATCATTCCATCCTGTGTATTTAGGTTACTGGTGCATAGTTTCTAATGGCTGTACGAACTGACACGCCAAACGAAAATAATTTGTCTGGTTGTCGTAGCCACGATCAGTATCTAACGACAATTCAAGAATTGTAGTTCTCTCTCTATAGCATTAAATTTTGTAGCAAGTTCCTGTTAACAGGATGTGAATCTTACTTAAAGTCAAAGATTGCCCCACTAACACTTGCTGCAGCTTATCAGTCTGTGATCAAACTATTCGAGTCTTCCCCCCTGACTAATGGGACGCAACATGCATCTCTGTGGACAAAATAAAGATATAAAGAATGCGGTTACATAAACCACACATTATATTTTTGCATTTGGCTGTAGTTGCAGTTTGCTCTGCAAATTTGACCGTGTTGTAGGGTGTGTAGGGGTTAAGTTGCGGTCTACTCTGTGAGATGACCGTGTTGTAGGGTGTAGAGGTTAGGTTGCAGTCCACTCTGTGAGTTGACCGTGTTGTAGGGTGTGTAGTGGATAAGTTGCAGTCCACACTGCAAGTTGACCAAGTTGTAGGGTGTGTAGGGGTTTAAAAAAAAAAGTGATAGTCTCTCATCAATAACAATTCAAAATTATGTTACAAGAAGGTGTGGCGGAAATGCGGGATAAATCTACAGCCACAAAGTGACGTTATCTGTAGCCCCTAAGTACATTTGGTATGCCCAAAATGGTATATTTATTTTGCTATGTGTGTGTGTGTGTACAATATGAAAAAGACAGATAAGACGAACCATTTGGCATCATCAACTGGGATTTTGACTAGAAAGCATGAATTTTTGTATGCTTTTTAAGGTGTGAGAGGTTCTTCTGTATGTGCCGTTGCCATCAGTATTCTCAAGGGAACAAAGAAATAAATGGTTTTGAAAATTTGCACGCTAAATTTCTTTCCGAGTTTAAACTCCACATTTTTGCCGAAGTTTGCACAATATTCATTCGGCAGAGATAAATATTTGTTTTTTGTTTTTATTGCTCTGATGATAATTTTGTGCTTGTATACTTTTCAGTATGAAGTAATTAAGTCTGAAAGCTCAGCAAGTTCATTGTTGATCTATTAATTCCTCCATCATTACCCTACTACCTCACTCGCTCTAGAAACTCCAGTTTTGAGCAGTCATGGTGGGTAAGCCTCTTGCTGCCCCATCAAGCGCACCCCTCGGCCTCCTTGCTTGCCCCATCAAATGCACCCCTCGGCCTCCTTGCTGCCCCATCAAACGCACCCCTCGACCTCCTTGCTTGCCCCATCAAACGCGCCCCTCGGCCTCCTTGCTTGTCCCATCAAGCGCACCCCTCGGCCTCCTTGCTGCCCCATCAAACGCACCCCTCGACCTCCTTGCTTGCCCCATCAAACGCGCCCCTCGGCCTCTTTGCTTGCCCCATCAAGCGCACCCCTCGGCCTCCTTGCTTGCCCCATCAAATGCACCCCTCGGCCTCCTTGCTGCCCCATCAAACGCACCCCTCGACCTCCTTGCTTGCCCCATCAAACGCGCCCCTCGGCCTCCTTGCTTGCCCCATCAAGCGTGTCCCTCGGCCTCCTTGCTGCCCCCATCAAACTCGCCCCCTTGGCTCTCTTGGCTGTGGACACGGTGGTCAACTCCACCAGATACACGCTCACCATTTCTCTTATTTGTTTATATACAAAGAAGGTACAGTATCTGATTTATGATTTTCCCACTGTGTTTTGTGGCATAGGGCTCTTCCCTCCCCACAGCTCATCTTAAGCCATATCCTACCAGTTTTCCCAGAACATGATCTGCTAATCAATTTACACCTAGGTCCCTAATTGCAGTTGGATGATGAAGGGAACAGTTTATGGATCGGTGGTGAGCCATTACTCCCGGTGTTGGGTTTGAGCTCCTGTGTCATACTTTATTCAAAAGTAGAACAATGAAACACCTAACTTCATCATCATATAGTATCCAGCCTTGTGCTACTAGCTCAGCCAGTGTTGTACTCTGGAAATGCAACATCATCTCTCTAATTTATTTTATCGCCAATTTATTCTCGCATAGTAATTGCAGTCCCCGTGGTGCAGTGGTAAAACACTGGCTCGGCGCTTCATGAGCGCATTGGCCTGGGTTGGCATCCTGGCCGGAGAAGATTTATTGGGTGCCAATCCTTTACTGTACACCCAGCAGTGTATGGGTACCTGGTTGTTACACGATTTGGCGAGTCGTTTACCGTGGAAAATTAGGGTTAATGACCTGCCCGAAAAGCAACGCGTGCTAGTGGCTTTACAAGAATGTAAGAACTCTTGTACAGTATATATAAATGTGAATTCAAATTCTACTATCTTTACATTTATTTTTTATTAAATTTTAATTATTTCACCTAGTTTTAATTTCACAGCACATTCTAGTTTTAACTTGAGAATCTGCCCAGAATGCTGTACGTGTTAGTGGCTTTGCAACAATGTGCCACTTAATCGCCAACATGTACTTTCTCAACCCATTGTACCTTCTTATATATATATAGGTAAATAAGGGATGATTGGGCATCGATCCTTAATTATTTGTTCTTCTGAAAGATATTTAATTTCTTCTTGTATGAGGTTTATCTGCCAGCTTCTCTTGCATTGGAATGAGGTGCCACAGGCACAGTTGGAAAACGCTGTACGAATATCAACGTCTCGTGGCTCTTCAACCTTCTTTCACCAAGTAGGAGAACTTTTTTAGGAAGAAAATCAAGCTTATTTTTTTCCAGTAGGCATTTGGACACATACCAGCTAGATGTGCTGTCTCAGCTGGAGTATATTGGAAAATGTGGGCCTCCCTGCAGGCTGTTGATGGAGCAAGTTATTACCATACAAGCTTGTCCCCATGCTGGGGACAAGCTTGTGACTTGCGATCACAAGCTGGACTTGTGATCCTGTGGTCCTGGGTTCGATCCCAGGCGCCGGCGAGAAACAATGGGCAGAGTTTCTTTCATCCTATGCCCCTGTTACCTAGCAGTAAAATAGGTACCTGGGTGTTAGTCAGCTGTCACGGGCTGCTTCCTGGGGGTGGAGGCCTGGTCGAGGACCGGGCTGCGGGGACACTAAAGCCCCGAAATCATCTCAAGATAACCTCAAGATGCTGGGCTTTGAAAGTATAACAAAGTATAAAGTATAACAATTATGAAGGCAGATCACAGGTAAAGACTCTTGTAGGAGTTGTTGCAACGAGGCATCTAGAATTGTATTATTACTTTCCTTTACATTTAAAATGTAATTGTGTTTATTATTTATTTAAAATATTAAGTAGTAGTTTTAAAATCATTTGTTGTTTAATACACTCTCGATGGGTTGTGGCTGTAAACTAATTATATTTGTGCATGCGAGACCAATAACCAATTATTTATAATATTATGATTATTTTATTGGAAAACAATTAAGTGCTGATTATACAGCACTCTTCATATCCGTAATTATAAGTAAATTTTTGCACTTTACAAGATAATTTGCTTACAAGTGTCTTGCTGGTGCACACTTGTAAGACTGGTGCAGGTACTCTCAACGATACACTGTAGAAGACTGGTGTAGGTACTCTCAACAATACACTGTAGAAGACTGGTGTAGGTACTCTCAACGATACACTGTAGAAGACTGGTGTAGGTACTCTCAACGATACACTGTAGAAGACTGGTGTAGGTACTCTCAACGATACACTGTAGAAGACTGGTGTAGGTACTCTCAACAATACACTGTAGAAGACTGGTGTAGGTACTCTCAACGATACACTGTAGAAGACTGGTGTAGGTACTCCAATACACTGTACTTGACTTGTGTAGGTACTCAACGATACACTGTAGAAGACTGGTGGAGGTACTCTCAACAATACACTGTAGAAGACTGGTGTAGGTACTCAACAATACACTGTAGAAGACTGGTATAGGTACTCAACGATACACTGTAGAAGACTGGTGTAGGTACTTCAATACACTGTACTTGACTCATGTAGGTACTCAATGATATACTGTACAAGACTTATGTAGGTACTCTCCACCTTACACTGTACAAGATGTGTGTGCACTTTTTCACTTTTTGCATAATACTGTGCTGTGCTTGCACAAATATAAAATGTTGCGTGCATATGTCTGCAGGAGTGGATATTCCTCAACACAGGCTGTAACTTACTATAAGGAAGTAGACGAGGCTAAATTGTATTACTATCAAAGACAGGTATTTAATTTAATTACATTACTAATGTGCTCAGGCCAAGTGGGTGACGTGTCTTTTGTATAAGTTTTGGTTTATGATAATTGAATGATTACCTTGTTTAATTGTTTTTATTAAGAAGCATTGATAAGAGGCGTATGGAGACCAATAGTTTAGAATCATATTGGGGGTTCCAGGATACAGATGTGTGTGTTATATGTTGAAGCGTATTGTAATAAGACAGGCTTATACAGTGAGGTAGCAGGCTTATACAGTGAGGTAGCTGTTAATTGTCATGAGTGTGTTCTGTGATGACAGATTAATTTGGACGAGGGTAGCTGATGTGTAGAATAAATAGCCTTGTTTCACACATTTATTGTATATTTTGTCATGTAATGTTTAGTACATTTATACATTCGTTGCCTCTCGTCTCTTTATAATATTAACCTGACAATGACTGACCACCTGAGCATGGTATGCTGCTATTAATTTTTGTTTTTTACAGCTAAACAAAATTTTACTATTAATTGATTGAATTTCTAATTGAATTTTTGTTTATATTTCCTCTTTGATGTACAATGTTGATATATACTGTACATTGTTTTTGGTCGTGTAAAAGTAATGTCTTACAGACAATAGATACCCAATTCTTATGCAGTGTTCCTTCAATTTATTTCTTGGTTTATCCTTAATATATTTAATCCTTCACGGGATAAACTTTCAAAGACTATTTCGAGAACACTCATAATTGTATGTGATGAGTAAATTGCATAAGTGTGTAGATACAGTATATGTGACAAGGATATTAAATTGTACAAGTCTTGTCAGTTTGGGTGTGTAAAAGTTAGAGAGAGACGCAGACAGGGCAAGTCATTCCTTTAAGTTGATTTATGAAACGAGTATGTTGTGTGTTGAATTGCTATGGTCACTAATGATAGGTTACAGTACAGTGCCGTCTCGTGTTACACATCTCACTGGTCACTATTGATAGAATATACAATGATTTAAATATACATATACAATACACTGTATAGTATATACATTATACAGTGTATAATGTTAATGAATGCCTCAATGGTCCTAATAGAATACAATACAATACAGTTCTTAATCGTGTTAACAAACACTTCATTGTCCTGTGCAATTTTTGCATAATCTGTTCTCATTGTCAACATGTGTTAAGTTTTATGTTACTGGAAAGGTTTTTGTTAATAATGTTATATGATTTATCATTTTTTGTACATTATAGTATTGCAGTTATTTTTAATGATTCCAAGTATTTCATTAGAAAAGATGTTGTCTAAATAACACACAGAAATCACAATAGTGTGATGCATCAAATGAATAGATCCACAAGGGCCGTGATGAGGGTTCGAACCTATGTCGGAGAGGATCCCAGACGCGCCTTAATCGACTGTGCCACAACACGGTAAAAGAATTGCAACCGGGAGTTCATCTTCCTTCACAGGGATCCTGCAGTCTCGCCGAGACTGGAGAGACTGTCTCCAAAACTCCGGTTTGTGTCAAAACTCTGGTTTGTGTGTCGGAGAGACTGCAGGATCCACGTGAGGGCAGATTAACTCCCGGTTACAATTCTTTTACCGTGTCGTGGCACAGTCGATTAAGGCGCGTCTGGGATCCTCTCCGACATAGGTTCGAACCCTCATCACGGCCCTTGTGGATTTGTTCATGCTGTCTTAAATATTTGTTAAAAAGAAAATAAAATATTTAAAGAAACTTGTAAATTAACTTTTTTTCAATAAATCCACCATAATTTGTTTTATTTACGTAGTAGCACAAGTATGTAAAAAAAAAAAAAAGACGTATTGACCAAGTGATCAGGTCATAGACCACGGACTATGATCAGGTCTGGTCAACCAGGCTGTTACTCGCCATCACCCCCACTAAGCCCTCCATTCTCCCCCCTAAGCTCTCCCTCCTCTTCTGCCCCCCCTGCCCTCCCTTAACCCCCTCCCCCAAGACCCCCTTTGTCCCCTGCCTTCCCCCTAAGCCCTCCCTTCGCTCCCCACCCTCTATACCAGATTCTCCTAGCCCCCCCCCCCCCCCCTCACACCCCAGATCCTGCAGGTTCCCCTGCCCAGACCCTCCCTGTTTAGACAAAATGAATGGGCCAACAAATGGCTATTAAAGTTCAACCCGAGTAAATGCGAGGCAATGAAACTAGGCGGTGGAAACAGGAGGCCAAACGCAAGATGCCAAATAAGAGATGAAGTCCTTCATGAACTGGACAGAGAAAGATCTAGGAGCTGACGTCACACTAAACCTGTCTCCTTAAGCCCATGTCAAAAGAATAACATCGGCGGCGTATGCGAGGCTGGCTAACATCAGAATTGCCTTCAGAAACCTGTGTAAGGAATCATTCGGAACCTTTTATACCACATATGTAAGACCTAGCCTAGAGTATAAATCCCCAGCATGGAGCCCGTACCTTGTCAAGCACAAGTCGAAGCTAGAAAAAGTTCAGAGGTATGCTACTAGGCTAGTACCAGAATTAAGAGGCATGACTTACGAGGAAAGGCTGCGTGAAATGCACCTTACGACACTGGAAGACGAGAGTAAGTGGAGACATGATCACTACTTACAAAATTCACAGAGGATTTGACAGGGTGGTACGCGAACAAGGGAACACAGGTGGAGACTAGAGTACCCAAATGAACCACAGGGACGTTAGAAAGAAATTTTTCAGTGTCAGAGTAGTTAACAGATGGGATGCATTAGGCAGTGATGTGGTGGAGGCTGACTCCATACACAGTTTTAAGTGTAGATATGATAAGAGCCCAATAGGCTCAGGAACCTGTACACCTGTTGATTGACAGAGGCGGGACCAAAGAGCCAGAGCTCGACCCCCGCAAGCACAACTAGGGGCATACACAGCTGGTCGCAGTCTGACATAAGAATCACAACTTGATTGATCAAATATCCAATGGAGGTGTTTATGTAAGAGCAGCTGCTGGCTTGGGGAAGGGGCCCACGCCGTCTCCGTCCCGGTTTATATAACCTCGGGTCAATGCGCGCGCAGCTTGGGGCGGTTTAAGTCAGCTTCCAGACATACGTTTTCTTCCACTCAGAAAACCCACCGTTTTTGGGAAACAGTGTTCTTTTTTTGGACACCGTGAGCGGTCAACTGATTATGTCCCATATATTTAGTCTTGAAAAGTTTCAGCATAACCACTACACATGTGCTCTTAAATATTGTTATTTTGCACTTCCTGCTGTGTCTCCTAGTCTCGTTGTGTTCTTTCCTGCTGTGTCTCCTAGTCTCGTTGTCTTCTTTCCTGCTGTGTCTCCTAGTCTCGTTGTGTTCTTTCCTGCTGTGTCTCCTAGTCTCGTTGTCTTCTTTCCTGCTGTGTCTCCTAGTCTCGTTGTGTTCTTTCCTGCTGTGTCTCCTAGTCTCGTTGTGTTCTTTCCTGCTGTGTCTCCTAGTCTCGTTGTCTTCTTTCCTGCTGTGTCTCCTAGTCTCGTTGTCTTCTTTCCTGCTGTGTCTCCTAGTCTCGTTGTCTTCTTTCCTGCTGTGTCTCCTAGTCTCGTTGTCTTCTTTCCTGCTGTGTCTCCTAGTCTCGTTGTGTTCTTTCCTGCTGTGTCTCCTAGTCTCGTTGTGTTCTTTCCTGCTGTGTCTCCTAGTCTCGTTGTGTTCTTTCCTGCTGTGTCTCCTAGTCTCGTTGTGTTCTTTCCTGCTGTGTCTCCAAGTCTCGTTGTGTTCTTTCCTGCTGTGTCTCCTAGTCTCGTTGTCTTCTTTCCTGCTGTGTCTCCTAGTCTCGTTGTGTTCTTTCCTGCTGTGTCTCCTAGTCTCGTTGTGTTCTCTCCTGCTGTGTCTCCTAGTCTCGTTGTGTTCTTTCCTGCTGTGTCTCCTAGTCTCGTTGTGTTCTTTCCTGCTGTGTCTCCTAGTCTCGTTGTGTTCTTTCCTGCTGTGTCTCCTAGTCTCGTTGTGTTCTTTCCTGCTGTGTCTCCTAGTCTCGTTGTGTTCTTTCCTGCTGTGTCTCCTAGTCTCATTGTGTTCTTTCCTGCTGTGTCTCCTAGTCTCGTTGTCTTCTTTCCTGCTGTGTCTCCTAGTCTCGTTGTGTTCTTTCCTGCTGTGTCTCCTAGTCTCGTTGTGTTCTTTCCTGCTGTGTCTCCTAGTCTCGTTGTGTTCTTTCCTGCTGTGTCTCCTAGTCTCGTTGTGTTCTTTCCTGCTGTGTCTCCTAGTCTCGTTGTGTTCTTTCCTGCTGTGTCTCCTAGTCTCGTTGTGTTCTTTCTATGTGCAGATTTTAAGAACTCTAATATTTCCCGAGTATAAGTTATTATCTCGTTTGTTTTCTAGATAATACAGATATGAAAATATGAAACTGCCTCAATAATTTAAATGTTTTATCGAGTGGATTTGGCCATCATACATACAGATTCGAAAACCGCCATTGAAACCTTGCAACAAGAACACGTATGTGATAACATACATCTGATCACAAATGTCATATCATTCGTGCAAACACTCAAACGATAAGGCCGACGGGTACTTATCAACTGGGTGTCAAGTCATGTGGGAATAATAGGAATATTTAGGGAATAATAAATATTCCCTAAAAAAACGTTACCTAACCTTACCTAGAACAAACTATACATAAACCTATAATATATAGTTGTATTAACTTATATGTCGGAAAAGCCCACTTCATATTAGCGTACAAAAGGGCGATGAGTCACAATAACGGGGCTGAAGTATGGTGACCAGACCACACAATAGAAGGTGAAGGGACGACGACGTTTCGGTCCGTCCTGGACCATTCTCAAGTCGATGAGAATGATCCAGGACGGACCGAAACGTCGTCGTCCCTTCACCTTCTAGTGTGTGGTCTGTCAACAGTGTACAAAAGATCCATTCTGCCAATAGGCTACGAGATGTATGAGCCAACTTCCTATTATATTAATTAACGAAACGCTTTGCGTAATAGTGGCTTTAGGCATTGTATGTACTAGCTCTATCTATAAAGCCAACAAACTTTGTAAAATCTCTTTATGTATGTACCTTTACCTAAATAAAAATTATTATTATTATTAATTGTTTTTTTGTTGATGGTCAGTGTGGCGAGAGCTGGTGGCAGGTGTGGACGCAGGTAACAGTGTTGTCTTGTGGTATGAACTGGACGTCCCTCGCTGTCTCTCACAGAAGGAGTTAACTAAGTAGAAATTCTGTTATCATTTTATTAATTCTGCTAGAATTTACCTACTTACAATTATCTGTTAGATTAAGGACCTGCCCGAAACGCTGCGCGTACTAGTGGCTTTACAAGATTGTAAATGCTATGCTATGTATTCTCACAAACTCAATGTACCTTCTTGTATATATATATCATGCCCGAAACGCTTTGCGTAATAGTGGCTTTAGGCATTGTATGTACTAGCTCTACCTATAAGTCAACCATTCTTTGTAAAAATTTATTGTATGTATGTACCTTACCTAAATAAACATTTTATTTTATTTATTTTTATAACAAATAAATAAATAAATATGTTTATTCAGGTAAGGTACATACAAGTGATGTTACATTAATGGATTGATATATAGATAGAGCTAGTACATACAATGCCTAAAGCCACTATTACGCGATGCGTTTCGGGCAAAGCATTTTTATAAATAAATTTTTATAAATAAATAAATAAATAAATTAATGAATACAACAGACAGGGGGACGTAGAATCTTCACAAGGTAATGATATTCTCAGTATTGATGATTATCAGGTGAGTACAGGATTAATTATATATATACCCGTATATTATTATTATATATAATATATATATGCGGAAAACCCACATTTGAAAGATAGAGAATGCTTAACACGTTTTCGGTTAATTCGCCTTCATCAGAGCAGAGTAGAATGAAAGCGATTCATTCTACTCTGCTCTGATGAAGGCGAATTAACCGAAAACGTGTTAAACATTCTCTATTTTTCAAATGTGATTTTTCCGCATACTTGGATCAGTGTTTTTGTGATCATTGTTGCATATAATATATATAATATAATATACATTATATATAATATATATTATATATAATACATAATTATATATAATATAAAATAGGATTATGAAACAAAAATCATAAAACATGATTTTTTGAGAACAAAATTATTTTATTTTAATTGATTTTTGAGGTGATGGGCTAAATACCCAAATTAATTCAGAACTTGTTTTGTCGGGGACAGAAAGCCTGTAAATATATACACGTTAAGCTTATATAGAGTCTAAGCTCCAGCTTCACAAGGTGGGATCATCAGTCTCCAACCCCATAACAGTTCCTTCACTGGTACTCATTTTTGACGGGAGACATCTCCCGTCACGCAGGGTGCAGTCGCGCCTCCACAAATCTCTAGTATCAGCTCTTGATACTGGTGATGGCTGAAAAGGGCCACCACTTACGGGCTATTCATGCCCGTGCCACCTCTTGGGTGACTTAATCTTCATCAATCGGTACTCGTTTCCGACTAGATGAACAAAGGCATGAAATTATGTAAAGGAACTATACTTATCATTTATTATTATAGGCAATTTGCGTTGCCTTCAAAAAAATATTCTATAATGAAAAATTATTTGAAGGTTAATGCTGCTTTTTCAATAATTATTACAAATATATCTGTAAAATAACCAGAAAACAAAATTATATACAAATATTTTTGAGATTTTGAAGATAATTCAAATTCTTTTAAAATTTTAACTATAATTTCATATTATTGAATAAGTCTTAATTAAATTCAGATAATGTTTGAAAAAGAGGTAATAAAAAATATTTATATTTTTGAGTATTTATTTTTAAAATGATGAGAAAGAATGACTGGGAGACTAACATATAGAAAGAATAGCCAGGATTTATTTTTTGTATTAATAAGCTTAGGTATACACAGCAAGTATATGGAAGATTACACAGTGTAGATAACAAACTAGCTATAAGTTCATCTAATAGTGGCTTTAGGCATTGTATGTACTAGCTCTATCTATAAAGCCAACAAACTTTGTAAAATCTCTTTATGTATGTACCTTTACCTAAATAAAAATTATTATTATTATTATTATAATATTCCCATCTCGCAGGCTGGTTAGTCATACATGGAATCAGGGGAGAAAATACCAGCCTCAACACAAAAAACAAATCAACTCTGACTAAACAACAACGTAATGATTTTCACACGAGGTAAACATTGAATCATAGCAGCATTATATTATAATTACTCTTACCAGTTTCTCACAAGACTCCTCGCAAACAATGTCTTTTCTTTTTTAACAAGCTTAGGTATACACAGCAACGAGCTGCTTCCCTATTCTGTATGAAGGACCACACAGTGTAGATCAAAACCCAGCTACAAGCTCATCCAACATCCTCACCTCACAGGACGGCCAGTCATACATGGCGTCAGGAGAGAACAAGAACTGTAAAACTGATCTATTAGCCTACACTAGCAAAATCTGGGAACAGCACAAGAATATCTTCCACTCGATTCATTGAATGTGCAAGTGAAGACTGCACCCATAATCCCACCGTCCCTGACGATTCCCTCCACACACCTAACCATACAGCTGAGTGGACAGCGCTTGGGATTCGTAGTCCTCAGGTTCCGGGTTCGATCCCCGGTGGATGCGGAAACAAATTGAGCAGAGTTTCTTTCACCCTTGATGTCCCTGTTCACCTAGCAGTAGATAGGTACAGGGGATTAGACAGCGGCTACGGGCTGCTTCCTGGGGGTATGTAACAAAAAAGGAGGTCTCATCGAGAACCGGGCCGTGGGGAAGCTAAGCCCTGATATAATCTCAAGATAACCTCATTTTTCTTTTACATTTCGGTAAAAAGACAAGTTGATTCTTCCTTGGCTTTAGGAATGGCCTTTGTGGCATTATAAACTGGACTCCTGGTCAAGCACAGCTGCTTGAAGTTGAAAGAAAGTACCACAAGAGGACACAGATGGAAGCTGGAAACACAAATGAGCCAAAGGAATGTAAGGAAATACTTGAAGGAGAAGAAGTTGTGGAAGCCACCTCCATCCACAACTTTATGGCCAGATTCGAAAACGAATTTGAACATTAGAATATAAGCCACAAGGCAACTGGTACAACAAGGATACCAGACATGACATCACTCCCCCGTAACCATTGAGGTAAGCATGTAATGGCAGGCTTGAAAACTCTTAAATAAATGTAAACCAATCCGCCATTACCCGAGGAAAGATGTATAAGTTTCGCAGCGGTTCCTCCAGCTTTCAATGTTGCTGGTGTTTACTTCCTGAATGTCTTGTCCTCTCCGATACTCAGGTGAATCTGGCCGTACACTGAATGACAGACTAAAGAACACAAAGGTGTTAAGTCTGCAGTCAAAATCAAATCAAAATCAAAATTTTTATTCAGGTAATCGTACATCCATAGATGATGAGTTACTAACATAATGTTGGGTTTATAGATAGAGCTAGTACATGTGTAGCGAGTAGCCCAAGACGCTACACATACAATACCTAAAGCCACTAATACGCACAGCGTTTCGGCCAAATAACCTCAATGTCATGTTCTCTCATGTAAATAACCTGCAGTCATGTTAGGGACTCTAATCTTTGTACAGATTGGTCTTCTGTCACGTTAAGGACTCAGGTAATCATCCTTTAGTTGGCCTGTCTCTACTCGTCACAGACGCCGTCTTGTCGAATAGGCTGTCATACACAACATCCCTAACATGGCCGGCTCTCATACACAATACAGCCGGCTCTCATACACAATACAGCCGGCTCTCATACACAATACAGCCGGCTCTCATACACAATACAGCCGGCTCTCATACACAATACAGCCGGCTCTCATACACAATACAGCCGGCTCTCATACACAATACAGCCGGCTCTCATACACAATACAGCCGGCTCTCATACACAATATAGCCGGCTCTTATATACATCATACCCAATACAGCATAAACGAAAGTGGATTGTGCACCAAACTTTACCTCAATAGTTCAACATGTCTTGTATTTCAGTCCGCCCTC